TTCAAAACATTTCAAAGGAAACTTGCTCTCAGATTTCTACAAGCCTGAGATCAGGGCTGTGTATAATGAAACAATTAACAATGACTCTTTTCTACTTCTTGCCACCACAAAGCCTGTCGACAATAAAACCTCAGCATTTGTGTCAAAACTTTCTTTATATTGAAATATAGCCATGTACAATGCTAAAGAAATCATTATAATTCAGCTTGCAAGAAAGTCTAATGGATTCAGTGGGACTTCTCACACCAGAGCAGTCATTCAAACACATATTGGCAGAACAATCAACCAAAGCCAAAATACTTCACTGTCCTATTTATGCTAAAATTTTCTAGCAGCAAAGGGGCATGAGAAGCAACATCTGTCTGGTAAAGGCAGAGGATTGATGCTCAGTTATTTCTTAAATTAAGGCTCTAAAGGACACATTTGTTTTCACACCAGCCCCAGAGGCACAATGAAAATTGTCACAAGTGAGTCCAGGGAACTCCACCACTATGCCACAACCTGCATGTCTCTGTGGCTCATTCTTATACCAAGAGACACCTCTGGAAAGCACTTAGCAGCTAAAGAGGGCTCTTCAGGTGCTGGTATGCATCAAAATTAGTGGATCTCAAAAGGAAGGATGAATGTTTTCCTTAGTTTTGTAAGGTCCAAAAGTATACAAATAGAAATAATAAATAGTTTTGATTCTAAGAGAACATAAACAGAACAATTAAGTAAAGTCCCCCCATCGTGACCAGAGAGCTTATCCACCCTCTCCAGAAGATGGTACCCTAGTTTAGGGGTTGCCATCTTCCTAGCACAGGTGACATCTGAGGTGACACTTCAGAGACTGGCACATGAGAAGGAAAATGATGGCTGGATACAGGACTGTCCATAGCAGAGCCAGTGCATTGCTGCCACATCTGCTCCAGGAACCTGTGGCAGACAAACATTCCCCAGGATGACCACATCTCCTTCCCAGCACAGGTTAGAAGCTCGAGACTTTGCTAGCATCCAGCAAAGAGGTGGTTCTTAACCTGCACACTCCAAACATCCCTCAGACGAGTCTCCCCTTCCCCAGCCTTCTCCCTAATTCCTGTTCATCCTTTCAGGCTTAGCTGATCACAGACTATTTCAGCACCAATCCTACAGACTCCAGGTCTGCAGCAGACCAGGCAGAAGCACTGCTTCACTACACCTATAAAAATCAGAGCTTTCAACCCAGCCTTGGTTCAGCCCTAAAGTGGCACTGATGATCTCAGGACAGGGCTGACAAGGGAGCCTGACATCCCTCAGCCACCTCCAGCCCGACAGGTTTGGCACCATTTGCTGCAGAAGCAGCCGTGCAGGAAGCCTAGATCCAAGAAACTTCCATTAGGTTCATCCCAGTCAGCCAGAATTCCAGTCATCTCCTTCGGTGGGCATCCTCTAAGCCAGCTTCTGCTCACAGGCCGAGCTCACATGGCCACAAATGTTTACACTGTCCAAGGCAGGACTGTCACCTCCTCTCGTGTGTGTAAAACAGCCTTGTTGTTAGAAGCCCAGTCAAGGAGCCCATACAGTGCAGCAACACCCAGCTATGCTGAATTTAAGGGGTACAACCCTGAACAAATGCCCACTCCCCTAAAAGAGATCATAGTAATACTTTGCAAACAATTACTTCTTTTTCTAAAGAATGAATTGAAAAAAAACCCAACAGTGCAAATGGTATTCACTATTTGGGACCATCACTTCACCCAGGAACATGCACAATAACCACAGCACTGCTCTCATTGCATGCTGGCTGCTGTACTGGTCTATCCTAACAAGAGATAATTCCACTTACAGCCAGGCAAATTCAGTGAAATTTATCCATAGAAATATTGCACAGATATTATTTCAAAGATACATTATGTGAATATTTATAGAGACTTCTGGGATGAAAGGTGATAGATAAATGGAAGTATAAAATAATAATTATAGAGCATCAAGCCCATGTCCCTCTTTGTACAGCTTTTGTTTGAACTTTTGAGCTAATTACTGTTTTCTAAGAATACCACTGGGCAGGAAACAGGTCTCTCAATTGTAAAACTAAAGATTGCTTGGGTTAAAATATGTAGCTGGAAATCAGGACAGCTTCAGCAAGAGACAGTCCCTGGAGCCACAGTGGCGCTGGCTCCAGAGGGAGCCACTGTCTCGCTTTTGCAGTGCCAGCAAGAGGCCAGCACACAGAGAAACAGCAGCAGCTGAACCACCACAAAGGCTTTCCAGTGCCAAAGCAGACAGGGTACGAGGGGAGTTGGCTGCATTAGAGGATGGGTATGTAAGGAAGCTGCTTTCCCAACAATAAATGACAGCAATCGTGTGCATTGTGCTGTTGGACTGAAACAAAGCAGATTGTTTTATAAAGAACACAAACAGTCGAGTGCTGCCAGACAAGAGCGAGCGTGGGTGCACCCATACGTGTGTGTAGCAGAGGAAAAGAGCAATTTCCACTCAAAAAACATGCTCTGGGCTTGAAACACCCTTGAGGAAAGAGCCCACAGAAGAACAAACCAAAAGGTAATTGAGAAGAAAAGCAAAAAGCAGTCTGTTGAAAAGATGTAAGAGCATCTTCTACACAACTCCTCCCCAATACCTGTAGTGTTGTTTTTGCCTTGTCAAACAGCAGAACAAGGCCTCCCTTGTAATTGCTTGAACTGTGCTAACCTTAGACTGTGATCAGCTGGACAGTTTCTGATCATTGTGGCCATACAAAGCAGATGGGCAAAGAGATGAGCAGATTGGGAGGGTCAGAAAGGCGAGTCAGCACACCTTGACATGGACAGAACACACAGCCAAGAGCAAAGACAGAAGTGCATTCCTTGCCAGAGGAGCAACTCCTGCAGAGGGCAGGAACATCCTGACTGCAGTGAAGAATTGCACTGATTCTTTTAAGGTGCACCCAAGGTAGCTTGCTGAAGGGGCCACCAAGATCCCCAGAAGGTGCTACTGCCAATGCTAAGTTCTAAAAGCAGGTGTTGATCAGCATCCAAAATAGTTGCACTTTCAAGTCCATCAATTTTATCTCCATAACTTGCAGTAACTTGGCTGCATTGGAGACACATTCAGGGTCCTATACCTTCCCAAAACTTCCCCAGATTCATTATCCTTTCTCTGTGGTGGGAATGGTCTATCTCAAAGCTGTATATCAACTCTAATCCAGAGCAGAGCATTTGCCTTGATCTCTTCTTAGAAGTCAAAGTGCAGAGGGGTGGGCGAGTTATGGGCAGACATAGCCCAAATACATTTTCTCTTTTACAGTGGTCCAAGTATGACTGCCAACTAAAATCAAAGTTTTGTGGTTTTCTGTCTGCATAGCAGCAGTCAGCCTTTGTGAGTGGAAACCAAATCCCAGAGACACACAAGAGCCAGGCTGGCAAATACTCTGGCTTCCAGCAAAGCAGGAGAGCACATTTTGCTGATAATAAAGCAAGGAGACATAAGTTAGAGAGGCTGGTTTAGCTCTACCTTCTGTATGCCATTAAAAAATGTAATACATGCATCTGTGTTACAGCTCATTCACTGGAAGACTGATGGACTTAAGTTTAACATCTCACTAAGGAGGATTTAGCCAAAGGAGCTCCTATTCCATGCTGCACAATGGACCAAGGCTGCCCAGAGCAGCAGGAGAGAGGCTCCCAGGTGTTCACTTCCAGCAAATATGGTGCATGTCACAATTCAGCCTTCCCTGCCCCTGTTTACATCAGCCCCTCCCAGAAGGAGGACATCCATCAGGAGCTGCTTCCAGTCTGACTGTCCAGGTGAGATCAGCCAAGCACAACAGGAACCTAATAAACCACACAGACATCATGAGGTGGGAGGTGGTGGCTCACAGCTCTGCTCTGCCCTTTAACCAGGTCCAGAGCTTTACCCTCCACCAGCTGCTTTACAACTCAAAGCAGAACAGAACCTTCCAACCAAGGGGATGCTCCCCCCTTCCCCTGGACACCCCTCAGGGCAAGCACAGCTCACAGGCAGCTCCACAACTTCTCTGATAAGCTGTCTCATCACCAGCTTAAGCAGGTAAATTGGAAGTGGAGCAAAACTGGGCCACTGAGTGTCCTGAGGGAGCAGAAACAGCTCCCAGGAGCTGTGCTCTGTGAAGGGAGCCTGGCTGGCCACTGGCACCTCTCAAGTGCATCAGCCCAGTTTTGTGCTGTGCAATGAAAAGGCTTCCAGTAGGTACTTAATGGCTGTTTCAGTATTGCATATGGATTGCTCAAAGGTAAAGATCTATTCTCAAAGGAGAGAGCAGAAAAAAGCACCTCGTGAGCTACGGCTCCTAGAATTCGTGGGTCCCCTCTGCAAGATAATGAGGTGGGGCACCACAGCCCCAAACATTCTTTTGCTCTGGAGCTGATCAATTGCTTTATCTTTCCTCATATTAGAATGCTGTTGTGCTATAACACCATTTACACTGAGATTCTACTAACACTCATTACACCACAATGAGCATTTTGGGCAGAAATGCCATAGAAGATGATTTATAACATTGTCTGGATGCATTTACTATATCAAGCAGAATAAAATCAAAGAAATGCAAGTACATGTGTTTAAATGAAAAGCTTTGCATTGCTCAAGCAAAGAAGATAAAGACAGTAAAACATACAAGCAGAAAAAACTAATTATGAAAATCAAAAATCCTTTTGAACAGTCTGGATGGTCATTTGGAAATAAATCTCTATTCTTAATGCCTCAGAACTCCTGCTATGTCAAGCTTATTGCCAGAAGAAAGGCTGCTTACAAAGATAATTTTCTTTCATTAACATACAACAAAGTATTTATATGAAGAAATTCCAGATGGAGAGCAAGACTTTTTTCCTCCCTCTGCCACCAACATGCTGTAGAGTCAACCTTCCTTAAAATACATGATCTGCTGAATTAAGGGAAAATTGAGCAGCTCAAAGAAAAAGAAAAAATAAAGGAGGACAAATGAAAAGCTTGGCTTGACATGTTAATCTCTGTTGCTTTAATTATTGTGTTTAATGTCAATTGGACAGAAAAAGAAGTAAGAGACTACAACAAAGCTGTGTGTCCTGGATGCAGTGTGCTCAGCAGGACTTCTGCCAAAAGCACAATGTTTTTATCAAAACAGCTTCTGATTAATTTTTCCCTCTCCCTCTCCTGTGCGTTTTCATTTCTTGATTTAGAGCCAAATGAGCTCCCTGTTCCAAGGGTTAATGCTCTTGAAAGTCTCATTATGGCAGCTATCTGCCCAGAGCTACTCCATGTAAACTAAAACACACAACAACCCCCAGTACATGATGCCAATACTGCATAAAAGAGATAAGATAGCATTTCTTTGACTGTGCAAAATCACTGCAGTTGACTGTCATGTGGCAGATTTAAGGCTTGCTCGTACCCTGATGAGCCCAGCTTGGAGCTAAGCAGGATAAGTCCTCACTGCCAGGACTGAGTCTCAAGTCTGGCTGCTGGCACTTGCAAAATGACAGGCTGCTACAGGGAATCTTCAATTTGAACCTTTCATCGATAATGTCAGAGGGAGAAATGCTGGCTACAACTGAACACTATTTTTGGTTGATTGAAAGCCATAGGCTAAAAAAAAAAAAAAAAAATGAAAGGGAGGGATGGGAAAAAAACTCTACTTAAAATACCTCTCACTTTTGTATTTCATGTCAATGACCACACTACAGCAGCAGATTTCTGATCATTTCTCCATGCCAGAGGGAATTACATTGCTCACTGCCTCATCTGTGTCCATCTCAGAGGCACCAAGTATCACAGCAGCCCTGGCCATTAAACACTTCAACAAATAAAAATCTTGGCACCAAGACTTTTGCTTAAACAAAGGAGAAACCAGTAAGCATAAAAAGGAGAGTGAAGAGAACGAGGCTGTTCTTAACCAAAGTGACTGCATGCTTTGGCCACATGCAGCAGGATGGCTCCAAGGTTTCCACCCTCTCCTGTGCCCATAACTGCCCATGCTGGGGGCAACTGGAGCCTGCTACTGCATTTCTAAGGGGGAGCTCTGAATTGCAATTCAGGCTGGCCAGGGCATCCTGACCAGCATTTTCTTTGCTCATAAGATTTCCACACACACCCATGCTTGGAGAACAAAGGAGCACGACAGGACTGTGTGCTTGCAGCAGACAGGAGGCAACTTTATGTAGGAAGCCACAGAATGACCACTCAGTCCTTACTCTCCCCCAGCCACATTTTCAGGGAAAGGTCTTGGAACACTTGATTCCCCCCTCTTGGTGGAAGGCAGCAAAGCATTTCACGAAAGAGAGTACAAAGCACTCTTGGCAGCATCTTTTTATTTGCCAACAGGGCTGTCCTGATCTGGTTCTACAATCAAAGCAATGAGGCAGAGGGGTCACGTTTGACCTGGGTGAGATCAGGCTCTCCATGGACTGTTAGTCCCCAACACGCTCCCTGCCCCAGAGCCTGCTGCCATCAGCTCACACCACCTCTCAGTCAAGCTGCACAGATTCATTAGTTCTCTAACAGCTTTCTTTATCTGGCTGGGGTTTTTTTGTTTTTTTTTTTTTCTGCAGCACATCTCTGAGGCATAAACCAAAGCTGGGAAAAAACCTAATTAGCGTAGACAGCGCTGCAATGCAATTCTCAATCTTAACAGCCACTAAGTTTTTAGGAGAGAGAGCAGAAAACGATAAATGCTGGTACACTGAGAACTAATGAAACCTCTGAAAGTCATTGTAGTAGAGAGACCCTATTGTATAAGGATTTAGATTTGAAAGACCATAAGGAAATGCCTTTTAATTACAATTATATATGTAAAGACAACACTTACTTTGCTACAGTGCTTGTTTAAGTCTTTATTGTTAATTAGTTTACACAATGAAGCAGAAGAAAGTTGAGGGGGGAAAAAAAAAAAGAAAGGTTATTTGCTCTAAATATTAACATTTGTCTGTTAATTTTGCTAGAAGCTTATTCATAAGCTGTACCACAGTTCAAAACTAAGGATGAGAAAACCTTCTCTTTGTTTTTCTACACTGTGGAATTTGCAAAATGCAGTTTATGCCATGTAGAGCAGACACAAATATTGCAACTATTTCCTTAATATTTCCTTAAATGTTTTTCATTAAAGCTTTGGCATAGGATGGAAAAGCAGCAACACATCACTGAGCTTCTGCCAGAGCTCAGCCCAAGGTCCACCAGCCCCACAGAACAACAATCCAATTCCCACTCTGTCCCAGCAGCTCAGCTTCCCAGGAGCTGGGAGGTACCCAGGCCCCTGACATCCTCACACTGCTTTCCCACCCAGCCTCACTAACAGAGATGCTTGGCTACATCCTTTGGGAACAGGGACTGTAGTTTCCAAGAGGGTTCATTTTTACTTGGGCACTGACTGTGTACAAAACATTTTGATCTCTGTTCTTAACAGGGAAGACATTCCCTGCTTTTAAAGTATGGCAAACAGGCTTTGAAGGCAGAGCTTCCATCATTTCAGTGCTTGATTTGCAGGGGGTAAGAAATTCACCCTAATGAGAAAGTTTCACAATAGGAAATGGAAGGATAAAGTAACTTCTGTTTTGAATGGCTTCACTGTCTGCTCACTCCAGCTTTCTCAGAAGAACTACAACTGCCAGCACAGTCTGGGCAAGACAAGAACCCATGTCAAGACCTTAAAGTTCAAATAAGCAGATAACAGCTTACAGAAACTCTTACACCAATCAGCACCTGGTTCCTATTGACTGCTTCTTTCCACTAAAAGGCAAGATGTTGCAGAGAGGAAACAAAACCACATGCATTTGCTAATGCTATATAATAAACCAGCCCAGTCTTTCCTTTCCTACAGCCTGGTCTTGCAGATAGTAGGGAAAAAAAAAATCACAAGCTTGGTACCTTGCACACGTATCCCTTCCTCACATAAATCAAAACCCTCCTGGACTTCAACTCAGCTGCACAAAACAAGGTCAAATGTGAGCCAGTTACTCACATGTACCTTCTCCTTGTACTGTCATAAGCATAAAAGGTGGCAGCAGGTAGTGCCACTACCCACTGCCAGCTCAGTGCCAAGGTGGACATCACCCTGAAGCAATCACTGATCTTGCAGCAGCTCGAGTGCAAAATCACGGATATCTAGCCCTAAGGAAAAGGGTGTCAGAAGAGCTGGGACAAGTCTGCCAGTGATCAGCTGGGCAGCTCTGGGCATCTCACTCCTCATCACCATGTCTTTGCCTTCTCTCCTCCTAAATTCCCCAGAACTTAGAATCCAGAAAAGTCCCTGATCAGAGACTGGCTGACAAAGAGCATCATGTTTAGGCAACTGCTCACCATCAGTCAGCTGAAAAACATCCACAGGAGGAAATTTACATTTGTGTCTCACTGCAGAGCCTGTGAAAACCTGAATACTGTGACTCAGACATAGGAGGTTGCTGGCTCTGACTGATTGTAAAATGTAGATGTTTCCAATTCAAAGAAATAGGGTTTGCACCTGCTAGAAGGCAATAACAAATGCAAAGAGCTGCCTTGACAACTCTCCAATAGCATTTTAGTTTTTTAACCTGTATTACTGACATGCAAATCAAACATAACAGCATTTTTTATTAATTTCAACTAGCCTCCATTAGCTATTACCTTAGTTTTAAATGGTATCTAAGGACCAGTATCATCAATCCCTCAGCAGTAAGTTGTCTGAATAAAATATAAGCATAAAATTACTTATGTCAGAGATACTTTTGCCTTATTAACACAGGTCAATCTAAATACCTATGTCTCTATTCAGAAAACTTGAAAAAATTTATATCTATATCATGTAATTTACTGCTGCTAGAGAAACCAGTAGCCTCCCTACACATTGCACTTCCATCAAAAGAGTTTTGGGGGAAAATGCTGAAGTTCTCTATTATATTCGCTTTTTTGTTAAAAGTCTGTTTGAACAGTCTCTGAATTTAGCATACATCATCTCCTACACAGACATCTTTGTTAACTGTGTCCTTTTTTCCCTTTCTTTGCACAGCCCAATGACAAAATCAAACCCAAAACCAAATTTGTACCTCTTGAACTGCATGACCATGAGATGTCTGAAACCTGGGGTTTGGGTTTAACAAAGTAGAAAGGAGAACCAGTGTCAGATACCAACACTTTGATACAATATGATTCTAATGAATAAACATTACATAGAGGAAACAGCAGGAACCTACATTCTCTCCCTCTGACCATGCAGTTTGTACTTTTGAGCTGCCCTGCTGTGAGAGTGGGCAAAACTTGGCTTCTGAATGACTCTGAGATGCTCCTGAAGCTGGTGGGGGCAGGCACTGGCTCATAAACATCTCCAGGGATGAAGGAAGTGTTGGAAGAAGACACAAGTTCTGCTCCCATTAGAAAAGTCCTTTGCATGGAGCTCCATATGAAGAGAGATGGGGAAGAACCCAAAATCCCCACACCAAAAAAATTACCCAGCTACAAGCCAGGGAGCAAAGGGGAAACCCAGAGAAGCTCATTTCTACTGTTAAAAATACAACATAAGAGGATAAAAAAATTACAAACTGCCAGCCTAGCTTATCCCAGGATGAGCTTCAGTCCACTAAATATTCATTCAGTCACAGAGGCAAAACAAGGAAACTGAAAATACTTCCAGAACTCTTCATCCATATGCTTGGATTTACTAACCCAACACAGAGTACAAGCATGAACAAAGCTACCACCCCTGGTGCTTCACCCTGTCCAAAGAGGTAACAGGTCTTAGGACTGTAAACCTCACCTTTTTCCTGGCTTTTATGATGTTTAATGCTGCTCAAATCTTGCCTCTGCAGCAGAGAAGCTTGTTCATTAATTACTGCATTTCTCAGATGATGAAAATCAGACTGAAGGTCAGGCTGAGCACCTCCAACACCACGTAACATCTTGCCTTGTCCTTCCTCCCTGCTGCTGCCACGAATGACATCCCTTCACTTTTCTCACCATTGCTGCTGTTGAACTGACAGATAGGGACCCGACCTGAATTTCTTTGGAAACAAGATAGAAATGAAATTTGGCTGAGCACCTCTTGCACAGGTGGAGATGAGCTCCTTCACATGAAAGCAGGGATGTGTTTTCACCCCTCTTCCTCCCAGTCTCTTTTCTCCTCAAGAGAAAAGCATTAGAAAAATATTGTGCAAGAAACAGATGGAGGAGGCAGGGGAGGTAAAATCAAAACAAACAGGTTATTATTTGGTATAAATCTACTCTGGTTCCTAAAGGAATGAATAAAGTAAAAAGAGAAGACATTCAATACACGTAGCTTTCTCCTTTCACAATATTGGGCTGGTGCCCAGAACTGAAGGAGTGATGAGAGCTTGCTCATATGAGCCAAAAGAAATGGCTCTCACTTGTTGATGGTATCCTTTACAAGATAACAATTACAGTGTTTGCCACAGATCACATCTAATTCTTGCAACATCTCAGACTAGAAAGAGTTTATGCTTTTATTAGTTTTGAATAAGCTCAACTTCCCTTTCACTCATTTTCCTTGAATGCTCCTTTTCCACCTGACATTAAATCTGTCTTTGGACATTTACTCAATTAATTTGCTTTAATTAAATTGAGATTTCTCCACTTAGGAAGTGGAGTGAACTGAAATCAAATTAAAGCAACTTTAATTTTGAAAAGTGTGCAAACACAGAGGTTTAATGAGGTTTAAATAATCCTTTTTAAATTCACACCTCTACTTAATTTAATTCACTTTCCTGAAGATCCCTGTATGGACATGTTCTATGTCAAGATGTATTTGAGAAAAGACAGTGAAGGGAAGAACAACAGCCACATACACAGAGAAAGATGATAATGGTAATTCTGTCTACAAATCACTGCAACAGAATGAGATCACTTATTTCTCTGCTTTTAAAAACCCTGCTAGCAACAGAAGTACAAGGAATGAGTGAAGCTGACATCCTCAGCACATCTTTTTCATCACTTACACAAGAGGGCAAAGCAATGAAAGCACAGACCCGAGATCCACTTTTCAAGTGAAGGGGTCAAAAATTATAGAGCAAAGCACACCAACAGCAACTAAAGAGACAAACATTAAACCCTACCCTAAGTGAGACAGACTGTGACCACAGGCATTTAAGGGACTGCTAAAAGATATCCATGATCCACAGAAAGGAGCAGCCCTGTGTGACACGGTGATGGCCATGTCATTGTGCACGGTCTTTCAGGGTCCCTGGGAACCTCTGTCCTCCTCAAGGGGCAGAATAGGTTATCACAGCCCACAGGGTGAAACCAAGGAGCAGGCTGGATGTTTTATTTGACACTCCCCCTTGACTACTGAGCAAGACAAATGTGCCTCAACATCACCAGCCTTTGGGTTCTGACCTCCAGTTCCAGGATCAAACCATCTGTTACTAATAGTTGGTTGTGGCTGCAAATCTTTGGTTCACTGACTCAAGCACTGCTCCAAACCCCCACCCAGTCTGTCTTTACTTGTCACGAGCAGCCTCTTGGCAGTGGAAGCTGCTCTCAGTGCTTGAGGGCATGTTCTTGGAAATCCTTCCTGGCTGATTTCTGGCATCTCTGGCCATCATTTCTTATTCTCCTGTGCACTGTCAGACTGTAAGATGTGTTTTCTCCTCTCCAGTGATATCTGCTCGTTCTGGGTGTTGCAGAAGACACATCCAGAAGAGGCACAGAGCAGGGACACTCCCAGCCTGGGGTGTGCCTGTGCATGGCTCCCCACCAGTGAGGTCTGTGTGATTCACCCTGCACAGCAAACAATGACTGACAGCCTGCAGCAACCATTCCACGTCTGCACAAAGCACAGACACGGGGCTGGCCACTTCAGACAGCACTTACAGCTCTATCTAATGTCACTATTCCCCCACACCTCTCCACTTTAAAAAAAAAAAAGTGCCAAAACTTGAGACACCCGGCCACAGACAGCTGTATGTCCATGCTGGCACACCAGCACACAGAGCCACTGCTCTCTGTTGGGATTTTACTGTCCTTGCCACTTCCACAGCCATGCACTGCAGGAATTGGTGACACTGCTTACACACGTGCTTCTTTGCTGCTCAGATCAAGGTTTTAAAAGAAATGTGTGCCAGTCTATTTATGGCCCTGGAAGTTGTCCAAACTACATGCATTTGCTACCTCTTCACTAACTCAAGCTGCCATTATGTACTGATTAGGCACTGACAGCAAAATAAAACTCTTAGAGTTTTCATAAAAAGACTGTCACAGACTAATTCAAAGACAATTTCTATTTAGGCAAGCAAATCCCTGTCCAAACTTCCCTTCAAATATAATGAATTGCTGGTTTAGTTCAGGCATTCGCATTTTCAGCTCAAAATGACAGGATTTTTTCCCCACTCTCTCTGCAAATTTAACAAGCCACTGAAACACAAGGTTTATCACTGAGTCACTCACACCTGCATAATCGTGCTCATTGGTAATACGAGCTGCAATTTAAATTCTAGGAAAAAATAAAGACTGGAGGGGGTGGTGAAAGGGAATGAAATGCCATTCAGGACAATACAAAGATGCTCAGTCCTTAAATAATCCCAGAAGACCATTTAGATTCAGAGACCCTGGCAGGAAAAGATTTCCAGTGAGCCAAGGGCACTGGGAATTAATTTCCCCTCTCCTCCCAATACAAAAGGCACAGGCAAAATCAATTTGTACCAACAGCAGAACTTACACTGGGAAGCCACAGGGAGTAGGTTAATTGTGAGATTGTGAAGAAAAATAACACTTGCTACAAAGCAATTAAAAGCTGCTCTCATGAGTGTTCAGAGTCCTTTTCAATTTACTTAAAACAAACATGTTTCCCTAAAAAAAAAATTAAAAAAAAAATCAAAACCCCTCAACCTTCAACACAAGCTCATTACTCCCTCCAGATTCTTCCAAAACAAGAGCTCACACTGTGCTTTTACAGTGACCAGGGAAAAGCAACCAAAATATTCTGCTGCAATTTCCATACAGGATCTCAAATGCTTCAGCAATGTTCAGTGCAGCAGGGAAGGGTCAGCCTTGTGCTTACACAGAGTTAGGCACACAGAGCTGTCACTGCAGCCTCCCAGGGAACAAACACTGGGCTGGAACAGAATCACACTCCTTTCACTGAGGGTAAAAGTCAGATTTGCTCAGACTTTTCCAGAGACAGAACAGGGACACGTGCTTAGAAAGAGCTCTGCAAAGACCAACACTGGCTTTTCTCAGAACTCATCCAAGATGCTTTCCTGAACTAAAATCACCATGGTGGCAGCAAAGTCTCCCTTCACACTGGCACCAGTGCCAGGCTGGGCTTTACCTGCTGCCCTGGGACCTGCCCAGCCACAGGGGCTCCTGATCCCACCCAGCCACCTCCCTCCAGGGCTGGCTGCCCACACCAGCCAGTGCCACCCTGCAGGAAGGCAAATCCCAGCCTTTTGGGGTGGCAAAGGCTCCCAGACAGGGCTTTTGGTCACAAAACAAACCACTGCTCAATGCCTTCTCCTGGCCAGCAGCCCCATCTCTCCATTTTCCTGCAGGAGAGAAGGAATGGGGCTGTACCACACTAAAGACACTGCAGCAAGGGCTGCATCACAAAAAACAACTCTTTCCACGAGAAAATGAAAATGAGTCAAAGAGGAGATAATAAATAAATAATAATAAAATAATAATAAATAAAATTTAAACAATTAATAATAGTAAATAAAAATCAGCAGCTTCTGCAAATTGCAGAGAGGAAGCTCCTGGGCAGTGAGCAGCCCTTCCAGCAAACACCTCTTTGCCTTTCAGACAGCCCTGAACAGCTCCCAGCCACCCAGCAGTGACTCACGGGGGAGAAAACCACACCAGGGCCTTGGGAATTAGGAGGAGGCTTTTGTAAAGGATATTAAAGCTCATGCTTTGGGGATTAAGTGAGTCTTTATCTGTTAGAGATCAGGATGTGGCTAACAGTAGGGGACAGATTATCTGCATCTGCCGACTGGGGAGGATTTACACCTTCTGAAGCATCTGTGCCTGCTATTGTCAAAAGCATCCTTCAGCCTGAGCCAGCGGCTTCTACAGGCAAGGAATGCAAAGTTTTCTAGATTGTGTACAAAGGTCCTCGAGCAGCAGCATGCAAGACTTTTCAACAGACTTTTCAGTAATTTAGAAGAACAGAAATGAAATCTTGATTGAACTGGGCCATGTAGGAGTTAATTTTTTATTATAAAAACATGGACTGGCCCAGACTTGGGAAATTTACCAAAGGAAACATCCATCCTCAAGCCTGGTGTTTAATAAAAGCCGGAAAATCTACATGGTGGGCAAAGATTCTCTTGAAAACCTCCTGGATTTCTACAGCTTTCATTTAGAGAGAAAAAAATAAAAGTGCATAAAAGGTCTTGGCCCACGAATAGGAAAGAATCCAGATCTCCCCTCAATCCATCCCTCCATAAAATCATTTCTGTAAATATGGAAAACAGCTGCTGCTCAAGACAGGGCATGGTGTGACATCTCTGGGGCACCCACGTGTGCAGCAGGTGAGAGTGCACACTCTCCAAGTATTTCCTAGGCTTTCTCACTCTGCTTTCCACTATCTCCAAGTTCTTCAACACCAGCAGAATGACTGATACCCATTTAGCATCACAGCACCAAAAACAAACAGCTCATTAAACCTCCAGAAAGCTATTTCAGAGAAATATATCCGTTGAAATATTCCCAAAATTTATCTTCCAGAAAAGCTGATAATCACATGCTCATAAGAAACAAATGTTCAACCAGAGTCAGTTTTGTAATATATTAATTAACATAATTTTCATCGGCAGTGACAACAGGCCATCTGCTACTCTGGCATCACCAGAGACTGAGTTTCAAGCCACTTTAAGCTGTTTCTTGTTATGCATGGCTGATTTTCATCTAAAAAACTACGCATGAGTTTCTCGTCTCTTTTTGGATAAGCTCTTCCCAACAGGCAGCAAACAAACTTTTTAGCCTGGTAACCCAATCCCCTGTATCAGCTGCTCTTGGCTCGCTGCAGTGTGGCACCCAGCAGCTGGTACAAGGGCTGTTACTCCAGTACCCATGCCAACATCCTGGCTCAAAGTCAGAGCATATCCCAACAGGAAAACCCATCTACAGGAACAGCCAGTACGACTTTCTCTGCAATAAATTAAGTGCAAACTTCAATGGCAGAAGCTATTATCTGGTTTATCAGTAACATTGGCCAAGGGGCATAAGTGCCTCCAACACAAACTCACTGACTTATGGCCAACTGGTGACCTCAGCAATCTCATTTTTTATTTCAGAGGCAGTGAAAATGCCAACAGAAAACCATGTCTGTTTGTCCTGTCTCTACCTTCCAGCTTCATTGTTTATACAATAGAATACAAAAAATGGGAGAGTCACTCACAGGCTCCCATAACTCAAAGTCATTGTTTAACTACTCCCAAATAGCACCTGACTCTGTAGAACCCCAAGATGAATGACCATCATTTTGGCAAAGATGAGGGTTTAGGAAAAATCACTCATACTGGGCAATAAGTCTGCTGAACTTCAAGAAGAAATAACAATCTCATTGTAAAGTTGAAAAGCAAGTTCATTTACTCTGCTATTTATAGCTTAATTACGTAGATGAGCAAGCTATTTCCAAGTCAGACCTGATAAACTGCAATAATTTTTAATACAGAAAATCCCTTAGTAGGTGAGGTTCAGTCAGCCTTCAGCTTTAAATCCAAGCTGGGAAGTGAGGACCAGCATCCAGCTCTGCAGGACAGGATGGTTTCTTGAATATCTGTGCCACTCTCAGATCCACACTGGGGCTTCAAAAATCACACAAAGTTGGTGTTCCTGGAAGGGATCACCCTGCAGCTTTGAGATTTGCTGATCCCTCTCCATCGTGGTGATTGCCACTGAGTCCCAAGTGCCCCCCAAATCATCACAGCCCCTAAATTTTTGAGAGAGGATGTTCTATCCTACACAGATCTGTAAGACACCGGGCAAACAGATGTTGATGGCTATGAACAAATACAACCAGGTCACCAGTGAACGTTCCCAGGCTCTGACACAAAACATTTCCCAGATAAAATCTTGTGACACTGATAAAGGTCATTTACCAGAAATCAATATTTGGAAACAGACTCCTGAGTGCAGCAGATTAACAGTGGTGACAATGATATTTACTTTCTCTACAAGTAATATTTGCAATAATAGAGCACTGTTTTATCCTATGTGCGACACACACAAGGAAACCTAAACTATTTAAATGTAAATGAGAATGTTCATATTTGACACCAAGATTTTGCCATTCGCTATTTGCCAGAAGTATTAAAGGATTTCTATTTAGGAATTTCAGCAGGTTCAGTGAACCATGTGTGCTTTCCACCAGGCATTTGGGTGGGCCCTCTACAGCTCTTGCCTGACCCTTTCCAGTCCCCTGTCCCCATCCCATAGATTACATTAATCCTCTTGTTTGTTCTTTAATTAAATGATTCAATCTTCCAGGCAGTCTGTGCACAGATATCAGCAGATAAAACTTAAAAAAAAAAAACCTGACTGTACTCACAGGAATAATCTTTACCATGTTAATTAGCAACCAGAATCACAAGGAAACGCACCCAAGATAATTAAGGGAGAAGCACGCAGAGAGACATTTTAAGTATAACAACCTCAAAATTTCCCCAAATTCCAGATTCTGGCTGTTGCTTTTCATTTCCAATAAGCATGGAAATAAGTGACCTGACAGAGCTAGAAGGATGTCTCTTTTAGAAGGTCTTTTAATGGGCACATTAAATAAATATCTGCTCAGGCAGGTTGAAGTAAAGTTGATCCTCTCTGGTAACAAAAGACTTCAATTCCCAAGATCCCTTCAGAAAATGTTTTATAACACTTTATGGTGACATTTAACATAGGGACCAATGCCCTGTCTCAGGCACCAGCCTACAGGAGAGCATCTCATCTGGAAACAGCTGAGACTGCTGGGGAGAGACAGACTCATAACCTGGAAAAGAGTCCACAAGCTCTGAAAAGGCTTTGATGGATTTTGATGGATGATGCAGAAAAGTTATTATTTAACTTCCATTTCAGTTTTCTCTCCTTCAATGAGATGATTAATTACACAGTAATCCTAGAAACTGGTCACTGCAACAACACAACCAGCTTTTTAGCTGTTATACCAAGGAAATGATAAAGGCTTCTTTGATTCACTAATGATATTTCAAGTGAGAAAAAATCTTGTATTTAAGGGGGGAAACAAATTTACAGAAACTCTTTGAAGTGCTGCCTCTATAGCAATTAAAAAGTGACAGCCTGTAGAGAACAGGAGGATATATTCTATTTTTGTATAGTGCTAAATAGGTAATGCCATGCCAAGACAAATCAGGGCTGAGGCCAGACTAGCAGATATTCCCAAGAAATGCATGAGCACACATCTGCCCCAAGACCACGGCCAGCAAAGCCTCCCTGCATCCCACACCAACCCTCTCCACCACAGGGCAGGGAAGATTTGGGCTGGGTATAAATAAAAACACATTCACTAGAAAACCATCTTTATAAAAAGAGAAGATATAAAGCATGAGCAGCCTCTGGCATTTTCCTGAGCACTCACTCCAATGCCATTCTCTGTGAACCATCAGGTGCTTTGGACACCACTGTGCCCACCTGCCCACAGTGGCACAGGAAAAGGCTCCTTATGAAGGCTTTTAACACCAAGCCAGTGAGGTTTGGAACATCTGAGCCAAGAAAAGGAAAATTATGTCATTAAACTCTCTGAAAGTATTATATAAGACATATTCCCTCCTGGCACGTAGGGTCTGAAGAAATGACCACAGGTCTCTTGCAGTTTTGTATCTCAAACTTGCAAAAGAAGAATCTTTCACACAGCAGCTAATGCAGCACCAAGATATATCTTTATCCTTCACCAGAAGCAACAACTTAGCAGCTCAAGCAGATAACGTTTCTTTTGCAGCCCAGACAGTTTTTAAACAGATAGCAGATTTGAAAATATAATGGTTTTGACTGACAAAGTTATGAACTTCAAGTGCTTTGTATAAAAGAATAGCAGTTTGTCTTTAGTTACCTAATGCTGAGGGTGTGATGCATTTCATCTTGTTCATAATTCAAGACAGTACATGTTTTTGCTGTTAAGGACATTGTTAATTTGAAATCTAATCATTTGGAGAGAAGTCATAAGTGCTTTCAAGTGCTTTCACAGTCACATTTCCATAGTCTTACAAAATATTAAGAAGCCTCTCCTCCAGAAGACTCACACAGACAACAGGAGAACACTATTAATAGATGAGACCAGAAGGTACCACACCATGGTGGCACTTCTATACACAAATGAAGCTGGGAAGAGATGACAAAAATGACATTTTGTCTAACAGACACAATAATTTACTACCTGTAAGAATGCCACGTGTCACTCCTAAGAAGTGATCTGAATACTTGAGTGCACTGCACGACCCAACCACAGCCACGCAGCACCAGGGTCTCTGACAAAGATGTGCAAAGGATTGCAGCTTCCCTGTGCCCAGCTCCTCCTCTCCTCCCAGGCAAACATGGCTAATAGTCACAGACTGATTACTCCCCCAGGGGAGCCCACCAGCCTGTGCTCCCTGCCCCAAACACTCCACTCACAGCCAAAGTGCTGCTGGCACACCCCTGCCACTCTCTTGCTGTGCCATACAGCTAAGTGGCTGCAAAAGAAGAAACCCTTTCATGCTGTGTGATATTTCTGCTGATAACAAGCCTTTAAAAATTTAAAGCATGTGAGTGAAAGGTTTTGTGGTCAGACAAATGGCCCATATGCTGGCAATTAAATTATATACAGGCAATATGGTTGACTGTCAGCTACCACGACACAAAAGATCCGAATTTCAGAAACTTGGTTATCCACATAATTCTGGAAAACTCAGGATCTACAGCACTCCAACAGGTCTCTAGGATTCCTTGATGGGCCAGTGGGCAGGAGCAGGGCTGGAAGTGCATGTTTCCCCACAGGGAAAGCTCTGTTTTTGCCACAAGATCCCAAGCTGTGTCTCAGGGCTTTTCCATCCTGCACACTCTCATTGAGTAAACTCTCACATCCTTCAGTCTAGAGTTTCAAAGCACACAGTCCCAGCCCAGAGCTTGGCTTTAGCTCCTGCCCAGCTGGCTCCATGCTCCACTCCCTAGTGTAGGGAGTCAAGACACGAGCCAACTGCAAACACAAACCAAATCCCTTCCAAGCTCCTACTGGCTTTAATCTCTTGCTTATTGTAGTAACCCTGAACTTAGAGATGTTACCTGTACAGAAAAAGGAGGTGGGTTGTATTTTTTTTTGAGTTTACGTATATTTCACATAGTCAATGCTCCCAAGTTTTCTACACATACCTAAGTGCCAGTTCTGTCCCCCTTCAGACCACGCTGCTTCAGGAAAGCACATGATTAACAAAAGCATCAGTTGACTAAATTGACATGCTCCAAGTGCCACTTAATCCTCAGAAAACACAAAATCTGGTAATAAAACTGCATCTACTAACAGGTCACTAAAGCCTAGGCTAAATTCATGGGCAAGCCCTACCCTGCATACACACACTGTCATTTCACACACTGGTGTCACCCAGATGTTGCTGTGTTTGTGGCACCTGGTAAGGCAACAGTGATATCTGAAATACATGTGAATACTGAATCTGACCATTCATAAACACAGACACAAAATCCCAGGCACTGGTTCATGTTTTGATTCTCAGCAAAGAGCTGTGTTTGTTTTAACTTAACTTTGTGCTTCATGTTGCAATTGATAAGTAAGACAGGGCAAAGCATGACTAAAAGCTTAATTCCTCCCCTCAGAGCACACACCATGTCATTACCAGTAAGACAGGTTCCATACAATGAAGAACTTCAGATTCATGGCCAAGAGGGCTTTAACAGGCAAAGACAACATTTTCCACACCAGAGCCTCGAGCCAGAAACACTAAATCCCACCTGAAATCTTTCCCATTACATCAGAAAATTGACATTTGAATTCCTGTATACAAAAGTGAAATAATTTCCTTTTCATTTCCTGCAGGCAGAAAAATAGTCCCTCCAAAGGAAGGAAGTATTCTTCTTATAATTAAAGTTTGGATTCAGAGTTTTGCAGCAATGTACTGCCCTGGGTTTGCAGATATGTCATTAGGCGTGATTACTTGGAAGATCCCATGAAAATGAAAAATGAGATGGTCAAACTCTTGGGTACAGAAATAATTGCTTTTATGTTGGATTGCTTGCTTAATTCCAGGGAAAGGTAGTCTCTGATAAACTGTAGTCCTTATCACGTTTCCAAATGTGTGATGCCACAGCTCATTTAAGTTTCTCTTCCTTATCTCTGCCTTTCCTCAATACCACTCCAACTTCAAAACTCATTTCACTTCCCTTCTTATACCAAGTAGTCATTGCTATTGTTGCTGCTCTAAAGAAACTAGTCTGTATATACAGAAGGGAAACATGCAAAAATGTAGGAAGCCTTGGCCTTGAACTCCCCCAATGCCACCACACTTTGCATCTGAAGTTAAATCATCCCTCCCTGTCTGAGCAAACAGCAGCCATAACACTACAGCTGTAAACAGATGACATTTTGCTATCTACAAAATAGTCTGGCAAAAGTTTCATTCCTTTAAAGAACAGAGTAATCACCGTAAATTTCCCATGGTAGCAGGGAGACAGCAATTAGACACAGCCCAGAGGGCTGACCAACACACTCCAGAGTTCCCAGTGATTTGTAAAAGCTTTCTGACCAATCTTTGGTGGTTTTTATTTCTCCCTAGAAATCGGAGCAATCTGGCTCCTGAAAACACAAAGCAAACATAACACCAGAAAAAAATAATAAAGACATAAGAGAGAGATGAAATTGCTGATGGATGTTGCTGGCAAAATTTCTGTACAAGCCTACCTTCTGCTCTCTTCAAATGGGCTCTGCCACACTGGGACCATTTGTTAGACCACAGCCACTGCCAAACTGCAAGATGATACCCCTGACAGTAACACAACTCATTACTCCCTGATTTATGGAACAAGAGCTCGGGAGGGGCCAGCACACAATCTGGAAAAAAAAAACCCACCAAACACCAAATCCATCCACAGAGGTGACATTTATTAGGTTTACGCATTTTATAGTAGCATTAAGTGTGCTCCTAGAAGAGGCAGGGAAAATGTGCTTATTCAGAAGGAAAATTCACTACTTGTACCTCCCAGTCTGCTTTATTACACAGCAGCCCATGGCAAGTGCTCTGTTGAAAGACTGGCAGCACTCTCCAGGAGAGCAGCACAGATGCCTCCAAGCAGACACACTGACACGTTTGGAGAACACCTTGCAGATAGAGCCAAAACACTCAGCTCCGAGCTGTGAAGATTTTACACTTGACAAATATTCAGGTCACAGTAGAAAACACTCCTTTCATCTTCTCCCATTCTTCCCTGAGCACTCCCAGACGAAGCCACCAACTCTTCCTTCTTTAAATCTGGAGCTGTTCCCCCACACAGGCTCACCTTGCCCTTGAGCTCAAATATTTTGGGATCTGCAGGGAGTCCAACAAGAAGCAAAGAATTAATGGTGCCTCCTGACCTTTCTTCCTTTCCTGCTTCCTCCTCATCTCAGGCTGAGTTCTGCAAGGTGTTTTACCCTAGAAGCCTGCAGAAGTACACACACAGTTCCAGCCAGGCTCGATGTGCACTGCAGCATCTCTGGCTGTCCTGTCACCAGTGGCCCTTGGACCTCTGCACCATGGGAAGAAATCTGCTATCTTGGCTACTGCTCCAAAATTTCCCAAACAACTGTCACAAGAAATAGCTAGTGACTTTTGACACCCTCAGCATTGACCACAGACAAAGATCTTGTCTAATCTTCCAGAAAATCCACATGGATCCAAGATGAGAGGGGTCAAAATACGCCCAGAGGTGAACAGTGGGCACTCAAGCCAAAATGGACAGGTCCTTTCCTTCCACAGTTCTCCAAAGACAGGCTCCACCAGCCCACAAAGGGTTTGGTGTCCCTGAGCCCACGTCCCAAATTCCCTTCTGGGGGAATTTCACAGAACTTTGTTGAAACAAGCTGGTATAGATCAGACAAGAATGCTAAAGGAGATAACACCCAACATGTCAATTCATCCTGCAAAAACACCCTCATGCGTGGTCCAGATAATAGTTACTGATGTGAAGCACTGGTTTTATCCAACACTTGGACCAGGAATTTAAATTGAACTGCAATCCATGAAAATTGCCAAGCTGGAGGTGCTGGTGAGGTAACAAACAAAGTGAGATGACAACTTCATGCTTTAAAAAGCATGCTGTCAGTTTAGGAGGAGAAAATTCATGCCTCATTTTGTGTCCAAACCAATGAAGTAAGTAGCAGAAAACACAATTTATTTTCATATGTCACCCACCTAGTGCATACAACTCTGCCCAAGATCCTTCCCCTTCCCCTCCTCCAATTGCCTAAGAACAAGTTAAAATGAGAATTAAATCTTTAAACAGCTTGTATTTGCAGGAATGAAGGGTGTCAATGCAAACAAGTGCAATTAGTTGATCATAATGAATTGATAATAAAAAAACAACATATGAAAGCTCTATTTTAATGTTATTTAAAGTGACAATATTTAACCATTTTATTATAGAACTAATAAAATCTTGTCATGTTATTATCGCGTATTACTACAACCAGTGACACTCAATAAATTAATACATACTAATTACAACGCTCAACTAGAGCAGTTTGATTAGGAAGAGAGGAAAAACACAATGATCAAATCCCTGGAGAAGGAGTGGGAAGGATTTACAGCTCTCTAACAACAGTGTTACGAACCACACATTAAATCTCACACAGATGTTTCCCTATGCAAACAAAGAGCTCAGTGACAAGACCTCTAAGACTTTTTTTATTTTTATTTTTTTTTTTACACTATGAAGCAGCACTGCTATAGTTTGCAACCCCAGGCAGGCAGCCAGGCACGTACAAAGCCACATGCACACACTTGAAAAACATGAAACACTTTCTCCTAAACGATGCCACGGTCATCAACGCTTGGTTCAAACCCACGCTTAAAAAAAAAGCAACCCAAAACCTTCAGACTTTTACACTACAAAAAGTTAGCCTATTTTTATATGCACATAGTAAAAAAGACCAAGCAGTTTCCTTCAGGCAGATCTTTTATGCCTTTCTGTGTGGTCACCATGGTTAAAAACTATTAAAATCCTGAGATTTTGAAACTGACCTTAACAGTAGCTCCAAAGTTAGTATCTGAAATGGGATGAGGGTAGACAAGGATCAGGACATGGTGAAAACAAGATGTGCAAAGCCTCTAGAATAGTTGGAATGCACTGTCATTGCAACACCTGGGTGGTATTAAAATGTTTCAGCTAAAGTGCAGATTGCAAAGCTCATTTAGCACCAAAAGGTATTTAGTGCTCTCTCCAGGTACTCATTACTGTGCTGCTTATGATAACAGAAAACTTGAGAAAGGCTGACAGACACCCTTTAATTAAAGGGGACTGCAAACGTATTTAAGGCAGCACAGTTGGCCACAGAGGGAAAAAATCTAAAATCAGTGCTTTCCTTCATAAATTGGGAGCACCTCTACAGAAAGGATATGGATGATCTCTTCCCCTCTCTAACTTAATTGAAGCTCATTCACTTGGGTTTGCCAGGAGCTGCTCAGAACTCAGTCCTATCATGCTGCAGCCCCTCCCAGACCAGCTCCTCAGCCAGATTAAAAAAATAAATTTAAAAAATCAACTTTCTTCTCTTTAGACACTGCCAACGGTCATCTCTTTTGACACACTGCGTTTTTTGGCACAACACTTAGGGGTTGCATCACCCTTTCAGCTGCACAGTTAAAAGGCATCACCACACACAGCACTGGTGCTGTGGAAACCTGACCTCATCACTGCCGAGAAGCAAAGTCTGCTTTGGACTGCCTTTGCCTCCCTTCCCCAAGGTGATGGTGATGAAGTTTTGTGCCTGCCGCTTCCTGAGAATCACTGCAAGGCTGAAATTCAAATTTCTGACAGAGGAATCCCAATTACCGTTTTCCATACGGGGTGAATCAGAGCTCCGAGCTGATGCACTGGGATGTGCAATCTCACCTCAGATGGAAATTCCCTGCCTGACACTGCTTTTGTAGCAGTGAAACCTGTTCTTACACACCCTGTGTGCAAGTCCTACAAGGTCACCCAGAGAGGCTGAACCAGGCAAGGTGTCCCCCCTCCTTCTCATGCTGCTGTTTTACACAAGAGCAGAGATGCTTTGCCCAACAAAGTACTCTTGTAATCTTCCAGAGCAGACTCAGGAAACACGAGCTTTGCAGCCAGATCTCAAAATGGAAAAAAGAATTCTTCTTAGGATAAAAAACAAGCTATGAAGCTCAGCTAGGTGAGAAGGACAGCCACAT